GTTTTAGCGCATGCGCAATATCTCACCAGGAAAGTTATATTTTGAGCTTAAAATGCATTTAATATGGTCAGGGCGTATCTCAGCATATGTTTCTGTAATAAATTATTATGAGTAGACCTGTGTGTATAATTAGGAGTGCGCCCTAGCCAGTAGGGTGCAAAACTACTACTTCATCCCCGCCCCCCCCCTTCCCCTTGTCTCCCTTGTCGCACGCTCAGCCTCCTTCTCTTTCCATCGTCCCTCCACTGTCTACCCGCCACCTTCCCTCAGTCCCCCACCCCTCTCCTCCGCAGCAAGCTATATTACGTACGTTTCCTTTCCCCGTGCTGCACGTCTGAAACGGTGCTCGCGCATGCGCAATATCTCACGAGACGAATGATATTTTGCAAACATTGTGTATTTGAAATGAAGAGGGGTTATCCTAGCCTAGAATTGTATGATAAAATTTTATCAGTAGACCTCACTTCAGAAATATGAAGCAACCCTTGCATGTATGGTCCTTACTGCATATACGAGTCAATACATAATCTGGCTACGTTACTGTTTTCGCGCATGAGCAATATCTCACCAGACGAGTTATATTTTGTGCTGAAAATGCATTTAATATGGTCAGGGGGTATCTCAGCATATGTTTCTGTAATAAATTCTTATGAGTAGAACTGTGTGTATATAGGGAGTGCGCCCTAGCCTGAAGGGTGCAAAACTACTACTTTATCCCCGCCCGCCCTTTCCCTTGTCTCCCTTGTCGCCTGCTCAGCCTCTTTCTTCTTCCACCGCAAATCGGCTGTCTTCCTTGCCACCTTCCCTCAGTCTCCCACCCTCTCAACCGCAGCAAGCTATATTACGTACTTTTCCTTTGCCCGTGCTGCACGTCTGAAATGGTGCTCGCGCATGCGCAATATCTCCCGAGAAGAATGGTATTTTGCAAACATTGTGAATTTAAAATGAAGAGGGGTTATTCTAGCATAGAATTATATAATAAAATTTTACCAGTAGACCTCACTTCAGAAATAGGAAGCAACCCTTGCATGTAAGGTCCCCACTGCATATACCAGTCAGTACATAATCTGGCTACGTTACTGTTTAGGCGCATGCGCAATATCTCACCAGAGGCGTTATATTTTGTGCTGAAAATGCATTTAATATGGTCAGGGGGTATCTCAGCATATGTTTATGTAATAAATTCTTATGAGTAGACCTGTGTGTATAATTAGGGGTGCGCCCTAGCCAGTAGGGTGCAAAACTACTACTTCATCCCCGCCCGCCCTTCCCCTTGGCTCCCTGGTCGCACACTCAGCCTCCTTCTTCTTCCACCGCCCCTCCGTTATCTTCTCTGCCACCTTTCCTAAGTCTCCCACCCCTCTCCCCCGCAGCAAGCTATATTACGTTGTTTTCCTTTGCCCGTGCTGCACGTCTGAAACGGTGCTTGCGCATGCGCAATATCTCCCGAGACAAACCATTTTGCAAACATTGTGTATTTAAAATGAAAAGGGGTTATCCTAGCATAGATTTATATGATAAAATTCTATCAGTAGACCTCACTTATGAAATAGGAAGCAACCATTGCATGTAAGGTCCCCACTGCATATACCAGTCAGTACACAATCTGCCTACGTTACTGTTTTAGCGCATGCGCAATATCTCACATGTGGAGATATATTTTGAGCTAAAAATACATTAAATATGGTCAGGGGGTATCTCGGCATAGGTTTCTGTAATAAATTCTTATGAGTATACCCTTTGGGGTTCCGAAAAACACAATTCCACTTGACAATTTCATGGGCCATTTCAATTGGAAGCTCGGCATAATGGACCCCCAACAAGCCATTTGACTGACCAGCCCTCTTATTTAGCCGCCGATAGTTCTTATTTAGAACAAAGTCTTCATTGTTATCTTCTAAAACTACAGACCATCCGCTGACCGCTGTGGAGACGTGCGCCGGGCCTCGAATTTGGCGCACGTCTCCACTGCGGACAGCGCTTCATACTTGAACATCCCCGCTGTCGCGTGCGCATATCACGCGGAACTGCGCGTCTCATCCGCGCGCAGCGCTCAGGATCCACAGCAAAGCTGTGCCACGCAATCTTGTATCATGTCTCTCTGGATTTTGGTGTGTATACAATAAATACATATCGGAACAAGAGGCTTTGTTTAGCTATAAAAGATGTGATTCCACTGGGTTCGTTTTTTGCGCTTTAACATAAGTAGTTTGAAGGCGATATAGGTATTGAAAGTGTGTTTACACTCTTCAGACATAGACCCCTATCATATATCTGCCTCCGTCTAGGCCTATTCTCTCCTTTATCATATCTATGTAGTCACCGATGTTATTAAAAATGTCTCCTAGATATTTATATTTAGTACAATGTTTTTTTCTCTGTTCTACCCAAATAAATTTGTTCTTCTTTTTCAGTTCTAATGTTTCTATGAGGCGATAAGTTAATATTCATTATATTTGTCTTGTCCATATTGAATGTTATCATTTTTTCTGTTGCAAGTATGTTGCACGAATGTGCTAATTTCTGTACCATGTTTAGGTTCCCTATTCCCAGTAGATCATCCATATATAACAGCGGTGGTATTTCTGTGGTACTTTGATATACATCTACTAGGGAGCCATATCATCCACTGTTTATTTGGTCCAGGGTGGTACAGCCCACGATCGGACCCAATACTATTACTGTTCCTTGTCTTACTACTTGAGAACTTCGCTAATAGTGAAACTATCGGAGTTCCCTACTGGGGTGCTCACTGTGATTCGAGCCTTTTCATTCATCTTATATATTATCAAGAGCTAATAATAAGAGTTATTATTAGCTCTTGATATTATGTTCCAACATGGACCTCTCAGCCCTTTGAACCAAAGATCTACCATAGTCTGTTAACCATAGGTTGTCGAAACACTTCGGTTCTGTCATCACCAAACATCATCATCATAATCATACTCACATTTGTTCAACCCTGTTTTTGTGAATTACGGCTCTCACAACAAATTAGTCCGAGCCGACGCAGACCCCAGTAATGGTTAACCCAGTAAAGTTAGTAAAGTTGGTTAACCCCAGTAAAGTTAAACCCGCACCCTCAGATTAGCAAAGCGGAGTTATAACGTCTGCGTGGGGGAATTTGCATAGAAATAATATACTAGTTAGACTAGGCATAGAACAATATAAACAACTGTATATATACAAATGTAAAAATATGTACAAATGTAACATATGTATACAATGTATATAAATGTAATATGTATATATACAACTGTATATATTGTTCTCAGGGTGAATTATAGGAACATTGGTGATTTATAATCAGGATAATGTATTTAACTTGTAACCAGATTTAAACTTGGTTCCATCATCCATGAGGTGTCAAACGAAAGTGAACAATAATTACTCTTGGCCCATGGCATAAAGGGCTGCGGGGACCATGATTGACCTTCAGGCTGTTCGTTAATTGCCGGTTTTGCAATAGTGGTTTCTTATAGTATTTTGTTGTCTGGCGGACATAGAATATTTATGTAAGAAATTCTACAAAGTAAAGCTAAGGAAGAAGGAATTCTTACAAAATCGATTTATTTTACATAAAGCAACTTTTACTCACACGGTTGCTCGATGTGTTTGAACTCTGAACAATTTCATTTAGGAACATGAACATGAACCTAACCTAAACATGAACATGAACATGAACATGACCTGAACATGGTTGTTGTCATTCAGTGTGGCAGTAACAACAGCGTGCGCCACAAAGTTAGCTATTATTAGCATTATCATAATTACCCCATAGTAACATCTAACCTATCCTGCCCCACTCACGTACACTGTACAGTTACTCAAGCAAGAATTATTATGCATAGTTATCGAAATTGCCAGACATCGAGAATATAATCAGGTTCGTGTAAGATTCCGAGCTCCGGCCCACAATTCAATCAAATATCAAAGTCAAATTAATTGCAGCGAATAAAACGATAAAGTAACATATATAATTCATCAGCGACACCTAGTATTTACAAGATTTTGATCAATTATAATAATAATAATAATACATAAATTATACAAACCAATACAAACGGAAACAGCACGTGAATTACGGAATCTGACCAAGAAATATGAAAGGATCTAGTCCGCAATGAAAACATCGTGGATCAAACCACTCTCACAAATTCATAACTTTTTTTGAGGCCAGATTTCAAACGGGCACGGCCGAGTTTAAATATAAAAATCAACTAACGGATAAACTATATTTACAACACGGAATTAAACTGCGGGTTTTTACCATTCAATCACGCACACGTACACTCGCGCGCGCACGCTCACACGCGTACGCATGCGCGCGCGCATCCACACACTCTCGCCACATGTACAGCGATTTAGTTTACAGCGTTACACACACGCACGCACGCACGCACGCACACACGGGTGTGTGTAAATGAAATAACATGCGCACATTATCATGGATGGCTATCAAAAATAACCACCAGGCAGCGGCACGTTCTAGACCATCTAATTTACGACATGTCCCCACGGCGTCACTGCATAACTGTCAGCGACCTGACTGTCATTATCAGACGCACCAGCAAAGCTACGGACGTAACATGTCGTGATATATATGTGTGTCGGAGAAAAATGATGAGAAAGGGAAGAGAGGGTAGCGATAAAGGAGAGGGGGAAGGGATCGAGAGCGGCGGTGAGAGAAACAAAGAGAGGGAGGGAGGAATAAACAGAAGAGGATGGTCACGGGGAGGGATTTAGCACGGGGCTGGGAGTACGGGGGAAAGGCGAGTCTAGGAAAGAAACAAGAAATCAAGGAGGGTCTTCTGTGATATTCCACCCCATCGAGTGGGTGTATAGTCACGCTATGATATGCTTTCGTGGGTTTAACAACAGTAGGGTTATGCACGTTCCTCACACACTGACAATTGAAAAACAAGACGTGTATTACACATCAAACAATATTATTACCAATACATCCATCATTTACACGATACCAAACCTCTATCACTTAATTACCTTTACAACATTAATTACAACACACTTCCCGATCTGACTCAGTAATTAGCAAGTACCGACATGCACGTAATCAGCTCACGATCGGCATTCAGTAATTAATAGCATGACTAAAAGCGTTGTAAGATTTCTAGATACTTGAGCAAATTTGAAACTCGCCTGTTCTAATAGGGATTAGATGACAGTCCATAGAATATGGCAGCAGACAGACTTTATTTGACAATCCAAGCAGGACTATTCGCAAACGAACAAACCTATACGCTGTTGACGTTTATTCCTGTGGAGTTATGTGTAGTTAATAGACTACCGACATCATGGTTAAGTCAATGCACTTCCTCGATTGGTCTCTAAATCCCAAGAGCTTACAATTCCAAGCATGACCATATATGTACGAGTGACTGGCTAAATGTTTCCTATTCGACTATATTTCATGTTTTCTTTTCTCTCGCTGTACATTTTCGCTCGCGTACGACGACGCAGTAGATAACGATCGCGGCAATCTCAACAATATAATTCTCTCGCGTTTCTCACACAGCTTAAACACCTGTATTTGATCTGATATGTGCATTCTCCTTGATACGTCACGTCGTTAGCGGCGCCTCCTGCCGACACATATACAAGACGATTCGCTCCCATCCCCGCGGACGACGATGGACGACGTAGCATTGACATCGATCAGTGAGGTCAGGTCGGATCAGTTAGCGGCGTCGGTGGGTAAGCACTACGGTACGGATGTTTATAGATGGCGCTGGCATCTCAACGTGGAATAGTTCCCCCGGTGAATCACGTTCACGCGCGGTGCATCCGCGCTGTCGTATGTCACGATCGCTCATCCATCCGCTCGTCCGCCGATCGTTGATACATATCGCCACGGTGGTTTTCCGCTCGCACGCACCCATCTCTAGGGGGCGCCACTCGTCCGGGAGCAGATCGTCCGCCGACGGATCCATGTAGATGCTGGAAGTACGCGCGCTGCCAGCAAAATCTGCTCACGATATCTGCAGGCAGTATCTGCTGGCAATATCTGCTGGTGATATCTGCTGGTGATATCTGCTAGTGATATCTGCTAGTGATATCTGCTAGTTGCTATCTGCTGGCTAGACTAGGAAGCCCTCAGCGACCTGAGCACCGCAGAGTTGAGCACGTAGCGTCTGTACACTGTACATGATTTTCTTCTGGTGGCCGACTAGCGTCACTCCGAGCCGCGTCAACTCCTGTAGAGACAAGAGAGAGAGAGAGAGTCAGATTATTCAAGCAAGATATTAGACCACAATTTAAAAAAAATCTTTGTTTGTTGCTGACCCAGGCTGAAAAGTTTTTTTTTGGGGGGGGGGTCTTTTTACAAATGCAGAGAGGCAGAGTGAGAGAGAACAAGAGACAGAGAGAGAGAGAGCATGACAGAGAGTGAGAGAAAGGGGCGAGAGAGAAGGAGAGAGGGAGACGGAGGCAGAGTGAGAAAGAACAAGAGACAGAGAGAGAGAGAGAGAGAGAGAGAGAGAGAAAAGAGAGAGAGAGAGAGAGGAGAGAGAGAGAGAGAGAGAGAGAGAGAGAGAGAGAGAGGGGGCGAGGGAGAGGGAGAGAGGGACACGGAGGCAGAGCGAGCGAGAAAGTCAGAGAGACAGACAGACAGAGAGTGAGAGAGAAGCAAGAGACAGAGACACGACAGACAGAGAGAGAGATGAGACACACATGTGGGGGCGTGAATGACTCACCGTGACGGTAAAGGCTGCATAATGCCCTCGGCGTCGTGTAACCGCGGATGACGAACATGCGTCAATGTAGCGACCCACTTGATGTTGTCGCAGCCACCTCGTGAAAGCCGTGCGTGACTCACACACGTCGCGGCGGTGAACGGATCCCAGGCGCCCCGTCGTACTGCAGCCCGATGGCGACACGTTTACACAGCGATTCACGAACGTAAACGCAGCGATCAGACACGTTACGCACGATCACTACACGTAATGGCATGATCGCGAGCACGTAATGGTATGATCGGCGACACGTTTACAGCACGACACGACACGTTAGCGCACCAGATCGCTAACACGTTTACGCACGATCGCGACATGCTACGCAGCATCGCGACTACGTTTTACGCACACGTCGCGACACGTTACGCTAGCGATCATGACACGTTACGCACGATCGTGCACGTTACGCACGATCACTGACATGTTAGCGCACGATCGTGACACGTGTACGTCACGATCACGACATGTTACGCGAGGACGATCACGACGACGTTACGCACTGGATGCGCGACATGTTAACGCACGATCGGCGACAGCGTTAGCACGATGCGCGACAAGTTACGCACGGGAATCGCGACACGTTACGCACGATCGCGACACGTTACGCCACAGATCGCGACATCGTTACGCACGATCAGACACGTTACGCACGATCACTGACACGTTACGGCACCGATCACGACACGCTAACGCACGATCGCGACCACGTTACGCAGCGGATCGCGACAGGGCCGTTTACGCACGATCGGACACGTTACGCACGATCACGACATGCTACACACGATCCGGACATGTTAACGCAACGATCACGGGCAACACGTTAACAGTGATCGCGACATGTTACGCAAAACGATCGTGACACGTTACGCACTGATCACCGACATGTTACCACGATCACGACACGCTACGCACGATCGCGACTACGTTACGCACGATCGTGACACGTTACGCACGATCACGAACATGTTACGGCACGATCAAACGACATGCAGACACACGATCCACTGCGCATCGTCGACGGTCGACATCCTGTGATTTCACAGAGCTGCCATATTTGGTCGGCCCAAAAATTAAATTACAAGCAGCCATAGCGATCAGGATACGCTAGGAGCTCAGGCAACAAGCACTCTTTCTCGACCTCCTCCCCTACTCTTTCTCGCCCTCCTCTCTCGTCCCTGAACAACTAATCTAAGCTTCGCCTTCCTCTTACTGCACTGAGCAACTATCCGTGCGTCTCCGGTTGCGGATAAGAGTGTCTAACGTCTTCACGATCGCATTGAACTTTGGTCTGTGGTTGCGCTCCTTCTGCCAGCAATCTAAACTACACATCAGGCTGGATGTTGCCTCGGACAGTCCCTGCACACAGAAGCACACACAGAGAATGACAAACTGCATGCAGCGCCCCCTTCGTACAACTCAGGATAGCCACTGCCACAATGGCTGGTACTATTTTTCAAATGGCGAAGCTCAAGAGTATATCCAGCGAATGGCAATCCTATCCACGCGTAATGGTTTGAAGCTAGTAAATGGGCACACAATCCACGCCCCCATTTCGTATCACTATTTTATCAAATTTTTTCATAAAATGAATGGTCGGATTTTTAATATCTTTGCAACTTTTTATTAGGACAAATCTTATTACATAAGGATAACGAGTAAGCCTGGCCATGGAAAACTTGTGGTAAAAACGCGTTAGAAATTCTCACAGAAATCTACTTGTGGCGCATTGATGAATTGAGCCAGAGCGAGAGCGCCATCTGTCACGGAGTTTGAGAGAATGAATGAATGCAATGTGCGTATCACACTGCCCAATGCAGTGTACCCTTAGTACACGTGTATGCGTAGTAGTCATAGTGTTCCCAACACAACAATATTAGGTCTCTGCCAAAGGTAATTGTCTAAATCACGCATAGATCTGATAATCATATGCGATTTTGTTACGTATGTTAATATACTTTTCTTTTGTGTATGAAGGAATTTTCTCTGGAGAATAATTTTTCTCCGTTATTCGTTACAGTCTATCTGTGATGGCAGCCACCTCTTTAAAACAGACAGCATGCAGTCACACACATTTAACATTTCCAGTGAATGGCAGTTACAGTGAAATCACGTCCATAGAATAAACAGCTGCTTATAATAAGGAAACTTTTGGTATTTCCCATATATCCAGGTATAAGAAAATAATAATAATAATAATAATAATAATAATAATAATAATAATACCTTCCACATGCGAGGCGAGCACTCTACCAATTGAGCCATCGCAGCAGTCTATTATATATATATATATATATACAGACTGCACATAATGAGGTATAACCTCTGCAGTGACGCAGACAGTATGAGCTTACCATGGGTGCAGGAAGTCTGTAGCCCTTCTCTATTGCCTTGATCACGTCCTGATTCGACCAGTTCCAATATGGCCGCTCGCCGTACGACATGACCTCCCACATGACGATGCCGTATGACCAGACGTCGCTTGCGGACGTGAACTTACGGAAGGCGATTGCCTCGGGAGCTGTCCACCGCACGGGAATTTTCCCACCCTGCAAGCAAAGGCACCCGTAGATTTGCGTTAGTGTTAGGGTTAGGGTTAGGGTTAGGGTTAGGGTTAGGGTTAGGGTTAGGGTTAGGGTTAGGGTTAGGGTAAAAAATGTAAATTTGTTTTAACAAAAAAATTTCCGAAAAATGAACTGCATGTAAATTTTGGTCCTTTTACATTTCTACTTCTCAGAATTATTTCATAATATCTCCATTGTTTAATTATATCTCTATTATCTGGTAGAAACTCTTCTCTGTTGTTTAAAATGTCTATAAATTATGCTAAAAAAAGTCTCTTAATTGCTTAATCTACCAGACAACCGGTATACTGTAAACAAACTCCAATAAAACTAATTCTAAACTATCTAATAAACACTAACTGCAATAAACAGATATTTGTTCTGGCATTGTTGCTGATAACTCACCCTGGTCGTGTAGGCACCTTCTGCTGTGTTGGTCTCGATTTCGCGGGATAGGCCAAAGTCAGCGATCTTACAGACGAGAGAATCATTCACCAGTACGTTCCTCGCAGCCAGATCCTAAAACAAGAGAACACACGCCGTGAGTCACACGTGCACGCCGGTTCAACATACAGACGTAATAGTGCACGAGTTAGCACGAATAGATATGAGCTTCTTTTCTGCTTTACGATAATTACTCTTTTGTGTCTCTAGTGACATTAAACACATCTAAACTATAAAATTCACTTCTCCCTCTGCCTACTCCTTTCCCCTGCTGCTCCTTTATTTCCTTGCCCCCTCTCTCTCTCTCCTTCGTACCCTCTCACTCTATTGCTCTTCAATTTAGCACGAATAAGAGTACTTTTCGCTTCTTATTCTTGCTTACATAGTCACTTGTGTACTCCTAGTGCATTAAACTCATACTTCCTCTTCCCCCACTGTAAAATTCACTTCTCCCCCCGCCTTCTCCTTTCACATGTGGCTCTTTTCTTTCCTTGCCCCCTTCCTCCTCACTCTCCGTCCGTGTCGTTGACGCCTCTCACTCTAATTACTCGCCTCACCCCCTCACTCTGTGTTGGATAAACCCACCCCCCCCCTCCTCCCTCCTCCCTCCATCCCTCCTCCCTTCCTTGCCCGCTCCCTCCTGTAGCTGATACTCACCCTGTGTACGTAGTATCTGCGGAGAGGTAGCTTCATGCGGACGCGGATGGCCACGCAGCACAACGGCAACCGTCTCCCTCTCCCTCCGGGCTCCTCCTCCCTCCCTCACGTTTTTTTTTGTTTTTTATTATTTTTTTTTTTTCCTTTGCCCCTCCCTCCCTGTAGCTGATACTCACCCTGTGTACGTAGTTCATCTCGGAGAGGTACTTCATGCCGGACGCGATGCCACGCAGCACACCACCCTCCCCTCCTTCTCCTTGCCACCTCCCCTCCCCTGCCTCCTCGGGCCCCTCCCCTCCCTACTCCATTAGTGGGGGAGGTAGACAATGTAGCTCGAACACCTGTAAACACATCAGTGGGAGTCTA